AAGATTCAATATTCCCAACTAGCAATTACGATTCACCTGTCGATCGGTTCATATTGGGATGTCGGATACGCGGCATTACATCTTCTCAATATTGCACATATGTACCTTTTTCGTTGGGGTATGGGTGTGGATGTAGAATTTTTCATACGACACAGCCACGCGCACATTGGCATCCGGTGGGATCGGACCGGTTAAGATAGTAAGACCGGGCGGTCTCTGCCGGTTTTTAGTAGTCGAAAAAGATTTTGTAAAGTTCGAGTCATATGTTATTTTGTTGAATGTTTATTGCTACACGCGATACTCCGAGAAAGAAATTATACATAAAATAATGTGCAAAAACAGTTCGTGATCATGAATAAATATGAAACATCAGTCTGATTATTTGCGTGAAACAGTTGCCGTTGACCTATTACAATAGTGTGCAACAGGGTGGGACGTATCCACATTAAACATATAGGATTCTGGAATACCAAAACCTTCATGTCCAACGAGTGTATAATTTTTTTGAATAAAACCAAATGAAATACCACATTTAATTAAGGATTTCACAGCATTTAATGACGATTTTGAGGGTCGAACAGAAATCAAATCACCAATGATACCAATACCTTAGAAATAATTATTTGAAATATTGCTTTTTCTTAATTTTTAAAAGATTCATACCTACTGATGTTGGATTAAAACCTTTACAATGTGCGCCTGTATGGTTCCAACCTCTGCCTTCAAATATGTAACCATTACCACCAACTAAAAAGTTATACCCGATATCATCCCATTGTTTTGTTTCCATATGAAATTTTTGCCAATGTTGTACTTGTAATACACAAGAATAAAAAGTTGTACATTGTGGACCAGTTGTATGATGTATTGCAACATGTGGAACAGGTGGTGACAACATAGTATAATTATTTTTTGGTTTAGTAGCATTCCAAACCGATCGATTTACGATCAATGGGCAGATACCTTCAAAATAGTTATAAAGCACTATTTATGAAACTCAATATATAGCATATAATATATAGCACCTTTTATTATTTTCGGGTCTTCAATTTGGAAATCATTGTTAAATTTAGTTATCATGTAGAGGCCTACACCCAACATCAAACTGAAAATAATGCATAGTCCGATACTGTAATATAAACATTTTGATTGGTCAGTGTGCCTTCCTTTTCTGGTTTGGTCTCGAAGACTTGATAGTACTGCATCTAAAAATTCAGATACGTCTTATCCATCTACTTATACTTAATGACTTTTCCTTCTACTTTAACTGCAAATCTCACTAAGAAGGTTGAAAACTATACACGCATAAGTAGAGATGTAGACCGATGCATTGATCGGTGGCAGCGGCGGAAAATTTTCCTAAATATTTTCGTGTGGCGACGGCGGCCAAATTTTACGATGTGTGGTGTGTTAGTCTTCTCTTCTCCCACACCCATACTCATATCCTCATTTGCACATAGTATGTTTTTTGTTTTCAGTGGTATCACTTACTTTTTTTCTCTTTCTTATTCATTAGTTCATCATCTTCACATTCTTCCAATTCAATTTCAAATAATGCTGGTGGAGACATTTTTGGATCATTTTTAATTATATCTTTGATTTGAAATACTGAAAATGGTAATATTAATACTTCTTTTTCATCTTTGATCGTTGATAGGTGTTCAATATCAATGGCTGTGTGATTTTGTTTAGTTGTATATTTTAATAAAACAGACACTTTTGTCAAAGTTTGTAGACTATTACCAGCAAACATTTGAGCAACTGAACGATTTTTTGACGTTGAAACAAATGATCGATTTAATATGTGAGTACCAATACTATAGCGTTTTAAATCATTTTCGGTCATTAATAGACCGCGATAAGTCATACCTTTGAATTTATATTTATATATATCTGGATGATGAATTAACAATGTAATAATATGAACCAAACAATTAATTAAGCGATATTTTGTTGGCGGTGAAGAGTAGGATGATGCATCAAAATAGTCTAGTATATACAATGCTAGATGTTTATTTAAAACATGATGAAAATTATTTGTTAATGTATAAGCTTGTATAAAATATTTTAGATAATTTTGTTCTTTAATAGCTTGTTTAAAATAAAATTCCAATTTTTCTATTTCATTTCTGGAAAAATGTTCGTTTTGGATCAAGTACTCATTTAAATAATATTCAATTATTTCAATTAATAATTTTGTGACTAAATGATGCTGATTATCATAAGTTTTATATAAATCAATTTGTTCACGAAATTGTTGACGCTTTTGTATTAAATTGTCACCAACCAATGACCACTCAATATAATCATGCTCTTGATTTTCATCTTGCAAACAAAATAAGTTGGATTCTTTTCGAAATAATCTTTTTATTTCATCCATGGTGGATTCATCATAGGGTAATAATGGATATGACATATTTCTAAATGATTGTAATGCATTATCGGTGAGAAATATTTGAATAATTTCATTGTATCCATGATAATTAGCAACATGTAATGCTACATTTCCACGAGGCCCCAATCGATTTATCGTCTTAATATTATTATTCCAATTGAAATATTTTTCAATTTGATTGTTTTGACGAAAGTCAGATAACATCAAATGTGAAATCATTGCTTGTTCACTATTCTCTGCCATTTTAAAACCAAACAAATATAGTGACCACACGCAGTACGACAGTGCTATAATGAATAACAGTTGCTATCTCTAAAAAATTTGAAAAAGCAACAGAAACTTATTGCTACCTTGCTGTCTCCCATTTCTCGATATTAGTATAAAGTAAGACTTATATTTCAATGTAAATTTGCCGCTCATATTCATATGAGCAGCATATCACAAGTGTAATATGTTCGATTGCTTTTTAAAGAATCTTATTCTGTATCATCCATGATAGTGACTGGACGTCTCTGACTTAATAAAATAAAAAAAAAACTCACTATTACAGTAGTAAGTTTTTCTTCTTTTATTACAAGATGCGAATAATTTAATAATCAAGCAATTTTTTTTTCGCAATAGTTTCAGATGGTTCGATAGAGCTCCGCCAACTCTACAAGAATATCTTTATTAAACTTTGTTGAATTTCCTATATGAGGCAAAACTCATAAGATACTTTTAAAAAGTTCTCTTTTAAGTAAATAAAAAGAATGCTCAATTTTTCAACAAATTTAGCCGTTTCTGATTACTTTCTTGATGCAGAAAGCTCAGAAAGGTATTCATTAGATACACCATGAAAACCTAAACCTAGTGATAGAGTTCTATCTGACAGTCACTTCACTTTGTAAACGGACCATCAAATAGCAGCGAGGGAGTCATTATTATGAATCTTTCATTGCTAAAAACAATAATATTAGGCATAACTAGGGATGCACCAAATCCAATCCCAATCAATTCCAATTCTTAGAATTGATTGGAATTGAAATTGGTTAGAATTGGGTCAAGTCACCTAAAAATCTTATGGAACCCCAGGAATTGGTATTGAATTGGTATGAAATTGGCTAAACTTGGCTTGAGCTGACTATAATTGGTATGGAGTCCTAAGAATTGTTATGTAATTGGCCTGAAATTGGCTCGAATTGGACCGTATTGCCCACAATTCGTATGGAACTCTAGGAATTGATCTTAAACTGGCTCCAATTGGGCTGAATTGTCTACAATTCCTACGATTCCATAAGAATTGCAGCCAGCTCAAGGCAATCCGGGCCAGTTTCAGACAAATTCCTAGAATTCTATGCGAATTGTAGGTAATACGGTCCAATTTGAAGCCAATTTCAGACCAATTACATAACAATTCTTAGAACTCCATACCAATTATAGTCAGCTCAAGCCAAGTCTAGCCAGTTTCAGACCAATTCCATACCAATTCCTGGGGTTCCATAAGATTTTTAGGTGACTTGACCCAATTCTAACCAATTCCAATTCCAATTCTGACCAATTCCAATTCCAATTCCTACCAATTCCAACCAATTCTAAGAATTGGAATTGGTGCATCCCTAGGCATAACGATAATCAAGCTTTTGAAAAAAAGCAACTTTACAAGATGCTCTAGAAAAATGAGAACTGTTGTAAAAATATTTTCATTGAGGTCCGCGCCTCCTTTTACCTATATACGTTCCATTTTGAAAATACAGTTATATCGGCAATGTCTGATGGTACTAAAGCTGACCTCATTTTTTATCCTATGTTTTCAGGAAAGCGATAATTTTTCAACTATAGTATGTTCATATAAAAAAACGGATATATAGGTTTTTTCCTGATATAATAAGGAGTAGAATGACATAAAATCATAGGATAAATAATGGAACTAGCGATACTACAGAGGTTTGCAGTATGTTCTAAATACTTTTAGATAGGACCCTCATATAGGCGCAAGAACTCTTTGATAATATCGTATGTAAACACTTCCAAAACTGTATCACTAGGTGCAGGTTTTCACCCTCTATCTAATGAACACTTTCCTAGACTTTTCTGCATCAAGAAAATAGTTAGAAAAGGCTAAACTTGCTGAAAAATTGAGCACTTTTCTCGTTTACGTAAAAGAGACTTTTTAAAAATTTTCTTATGAGTTGTGCCTCATACACGGAATTCAAAAACTTTTTAATTAAAATATTCTTGTAAAGCTGGTCGAGCTCAGCTTTATCGAACCATGTAAATCTATCGCGAAAAAACTATTGCTCGATTATTGAAGTATGTGCACCTTACATAGTAACTTGATATTTTCTACTCTACCTTTCTGTTAGATGACGTTAGTCTTTTTGTCGTAACGTTACAGTACTAAATTAATACAAAAGAGTTCTGATTGAAATTAAATAAAACGATGATCAGTCATATACAGCGCGTCTCAATTGATTTTTCTCTCTTGATATTTTTTTGTTTTTATTGCTATACCTCTTTTATTTATTAACCTACTATATATAGGAAGAAAGCCCGGAACGCGCTGCATCTTTTGGTATATTTACATTAAACATCAAATACAATTTAAAGTGCAAGGCATGTATTAGAAAAAAAAGTGACATTTTTTTCACTACAATACCTGGTGTCCAAAATGTTGTAACAGTTTTTATTTCGCGTATATCTCGGCTTTGGTAAATGATAATATTTTGAATTTTTTTCCAGAAGATGCGCCGTGAAAAGCTCTACAATAGCTGTACGATCAAATTCCTTTTTGCCTGTTCTGATGGTTTTTCTTATGCTCAAAATGAACAACTTACACGGCAGTGTCACTTGCCATCGTATAGAAAATATTTTGAGGACTTTTCTGATTCGCTATAGGATTTGGTCTATACGTGTTTTGTAGAGCTTTCAACGGCACATCTTTCAAAAACAAATTCAATATTCCATCATTTTCTCAAGTCAAGATATATACAAAATAAAAAGTCTTCCAAACATTTTCAATATGATGGATAGTGGCACTGTCATATGGGCTTTTCATTTTGAGTATAAGAAAAACCATCAGAACAGGCAAAAATGAATTTGATCATACAGCTTTTGTAGAGCTTTTCACGGCGCATCTTCTGGAAAAAATTCAAAATATCTTCATTTGCCAAAGCCGAGATATACGCGAAATAAAAAATGTTACCATATTGTGAACATCCTGTAGTAAAAAAAAATGTCACTTTTTTTTCTAATACATTTTTTAGACTTTATGTTGCATTTGATGTTAAATGTAAATATACCAAAAGATGCAGCGCGTTCCGGGCTTTCTTCCTATATATGATAGGTTAATAAATAAAAGAGGTATAGCAATAAAAACAAAAAAATATCAAGAGGGAAAATCAAGTGAGGCGCACTGTATTACAGTTGACTAGTTGCTGAATGAATGAATGAATCGAGCGAATAAAACAGTAGGAAGTATTATGATTTGATTTGATTTGATTTTTTATTTATTTTGCAGTAAACTGACACTTTGAGCTACATAGATAACGCAAAAATCCAATTAAAATCACTATTGCTTTTTTTATTTCATTGTAATGGATCAAATTTTTTCGTTCCTTCTCTTCTATAACATAAAAACAAAGGTTTCTTTTATTGATATAAAGAAGAGAAAAGTTTTCACTCCCTTCTTTCTTGAAAGTTCCCCAGATGAAACATGGAACGTCAATTTTTTTTGTTATTGTTTTCCTTCAGCTATCTGAATGCCCCTAGTGAGAGTTCAATTTTTCTTCTCAATTAACTCTATTTCAAAAGGAACATATGCGTTACAAATGCATTAGAATGAACGATGTTTGCACCTTATCGGTATCAGAAAGAAACGTTTGATAGGTTTGATATTTTACCAAGTTCAATATGTTATTGATAAAAAATAATTCTACATTATTACTGAATATCTTCTTTATTCCAGAATAATCACAGCTATATATACTAGCTGGTGAAGAGGAAGAGAAAATGACATATGTATATGACATAAAGGATGACACATATAACAATAAGAGAGAAGTGAAAAGATCACATATTTCCTCGACTGTAGGGAGGGTCATATGAAAAAAAATAGATTGTGTGTGTATGTCTGTGTGTCTACATCGGGGTCAAAAAAACATCAGGGTCAAGAAAACGTCCATTTAAAGTTCTTTCCTCTAAACGTTGACGAAAGTAAATCGGGGTCGGGGAATCCGAATGTGAAGTTAGTTTTTAAAATTTTGAATTGAATTTTTTGGGTGAAGGAAACGGTTTTTTGAGAAAATAATGATATTTTATAAAGGTTGACGAGAGTAAATCGGGGTCGGAGAATCCGAATCTGAAGTCAATTTCTCGAAATTTTCAATTGATTTTTTAGGTTGAGGAAAGGGCTTTTTTGCGAAGGGTGTGGGTATGGGTGTGAGTGGGGTGTGGGTGTGGATGTGGGTGTGGGTGTGGGTGTGGGTGCGTGGGTGTGGGTGTGGCTGTTTGTATGGGTGCGGGTGTGGGTGCGGGTGTGGGTGTGGGTGTGGGTGTGGGTGTGGATGTGGGTGTGGGTGTGAGTGTGGGTGTGGGTGTGGGTGTGTCTGAAGAAAATATGACACCCACACCCACACCCTTCGAAATTTTAATCTAAACTAGGAATAATTAAAATTTCAATCTGTCCTAGTTCGATTTAAAACTGAACTGGATTTGAATCTGTCCTGCGACATATATATACATAAATTAGAAGAGTGCAAGTACTCACTAGAAAATGTCAGACACAAAAGAACTCTCAAGAAAACAATAGAGATCATATAATAAATTGGTACTCAATATTTATAAAAGTGATCTTAAACATGGTTTGAAATTGAAAGGTCGAAATCATTCTCATATCAATAGGGTGTGGGTATTCTCTTTATATCCACTCGCACACCCACACCCAAACACACGTGCTGCAGTGTCGTTTTTTCAAATATTTCGAAAATGATGATTTTATGCATATCAGGTAAACGTGATTATTTTCAAAATTTATTGTATGCCGAATTATACGAAATAATACTTTAAAGCATATACTATCATACTATAAAAAAGGTAATTAAATCGCTCGCATTGTATAAGAGATATTTACGTTAACTTTTTGATCGAACTTTTGGGACATCTTGTATTCATATATGCTTAGATTGGTAGAAACATTGTGACGAGCACAGTTTGAGCTCTCGAATGGTGTCTTTTCCAGCAGATTTTTCGTTTGCTACATTGAGCAA